ATTGTTGTCAGGTGTACACATATCAAGTAATCTTTTCAGCTCTAGAAACAAACCACGTTTTGCTGTATTTTGCCAATGACTGCCAACGTACGAATATAACATTCAATGTTAAGAGCATCGCATCAAAATTCGTCGCTTACCTTTAAGTTCGCCTTGCATTACGTACATGGCATTCACTTTCGGATTATCATAATCGCCCTAAACAAACACAGGAATTACATGAAGATGTAACAGATGTCGCAGCAAAGATATTAAATTGAAAGTGTTTCCATATTCACTAATTTAAAAACTAGGGTTGCTACGTCGGTAGAGCATCGAACTCAGAATCGTGAGGTCTCGGGTTCGAGTCTCATTCTGGTCACTTGTCGTTCTTCCTTCCGAGGCTGATAAATGAGTACCCCTCTGTAGGAAGGAAACAAGAGACTACACGCTATGCTCGCCACATGGTTGTTATCGACTCTGCCTTTAAAATAATGAACACTTACTGATGGCATGAAAATAGACTTCAGCGCCCTTCAATAACTTCATGACAAGAAGGGCATCAGAAACAACCAATCATGAAAATGTAAGGAACGCCACGAATGCTAACTTTCTTTGTTTACATCAAAAACAGCAAGTGAGTGAGTACATGAATCTGCAAGATTAATCATTGTAGAATAGTTTACGCCAAATTAACGACAGATCTGCTAAAGCTGTGTGCTTAAAACAGAAGCTTGCTACTAGTCACGAAAGCTATGAGAGGACAATCAGAAACGTACCTTTACGGTTATTTGTAGGAACATGGAGAGCACATCACTCGCCTGGGTATGGCAGTAATGTTGGCGCCCAACATTCATACTTGCCGTAAAAGAAGACACAGAGAGCACTTATGTCGTACCAAAGCAAACAAGATTAAACGCAAGGGCGCAACGATGTCTCTTTATCGTCGTCCTCTGGCAAGGAAGTTGATACTCCACCTCAAAATGGCATAACGAAAACCACCGTCTATTCATGTGTAAGTTAGCCGACAACAACCCATAAAAGAAGGTTTCCTAACTAACGAAATATTCTTAAGCAACGTCTTCATTAGCCAAAACTTCAAAGTTTAAACACAGAACCTCTGTAGAAACTATTTAGACTCGTGCATTGTACAGGTACAGTAACCAAACGGAAAATTTAGTTCTTAGAGTCTACTTAAAATGCCGAATAAAATTCAAAACAATTCGTATCCAACAAAAAAGGTTAAAAAATCAGTGATACCAGTTATTACTGCGACGGCGCTGATAGGTGGATAGTAACAAAAGGGAAGCAGAAAAAAGGAAGAACGCTTGAAGAATTTCTGATCAGCAGTAGAAGATCACGCCAAGTCTCAGAGCACATTGCAGACGAATGAAATAGGCTGTTCAGACGGTTAAGCACTGAGTCCAAGAACCGAGTGGTCAGGGGTTAGAGCCCGATCAGGTCACTCGCTTTTATTTTCTTCCGAGATTGATGAGTACCGCCCTG